TGCAGCACATTCAGTTGTAGAAGATCATAAACGAGAGATTTAGTTGAGTCTCTCGTGAAAACCAAATTGATTTGCAAATTAGTGTGTTTTTCTGAAGAAGTTCAATTTGGGTTCAAGTAGAACATAAGGTTGCCTGATGAGCCCCAAGAAGGGCGAAACCGGTCGTAGGCTGTCGAAGAGTTTTCAACAACCTTGTGAGTAGTTTCCTTTATGGAACTAGTCTGTCTTATGACGCACATCCTGTTTACCGACAAGCGTTAGATCACTACAAACCTTACAACGTTCACCCGCATTTCCAGCAGTCTATCAGTCAATTTATTCAGTGGTTTCCACAAAAACAAAAACAATCTTGAGAGCCTTTCTATGCACAGTTGCCATACAGCTTAAAAGCAGCACATGAGGATTTACATAGTGGCAAGTTTCTCAACCGGAAAGCCGGGGTTGGGTTGAAAACCACGGACCTTCTGTCCAGCTAGCTAGAGCGTGACAGATTGAAGACTGGCAGCCAAACACACATTGCAACTTAAATTGGTGTTAGCGATCCGATCAAGAAGAAAATAGGATTGATGATAGTTCAGGGACCACGTCTACCTATTCAGTTTATCAGAAGTAAACCATGTGCAAAGGATAAGTTAGTTAGAGCTGTTGCAGTTTCGGTCTCCGAAAACAGGGGGTGCAGCAAGGATGGCAGGTGTGTTAATCGTATCATCCATTCGCTTTGTATCCACTACATTAGTCGGTTTTCCGTCGAATCGGGTTCACCAGTTCCAAATCACACACAACAAGCGTTGATTTTATGCCCGTGTTCTCCCTCTCTCTACACACACACACACATTGCCTTGGAGATCAATAAAGTTTTGCCAGCATCTCGAAACAGGGGCAGTGGAGTCTAAAGCAATGCAATAATCATCCATCTATAGCACCCTTTCGGTGCCCAAGTGCCATGCCACCCGAAGGTTACACGAGGGTTGGGATACTGCCAGGTTCCCCAAGTCTAGACAGGGGAAGTCGAGGAGCAAAGGTCGGGTTCGAACCACGGACCTTTCGGTCAGTAAATTCGTGCTCTAACCACTTGGGCCATCTCGCTCCCTAGTAACTCCACTGTAGTGCATGCCGGTTACGAGGTCATCTTCTCTGTCTGGTGAATCCGAGTTACCACGGCTCCCTCGTGTGATAGCGACAAAAAACACGTGAAAACACGCGAACATAGTTACCTCACTCAAATATCGAACCATTGAGCAGTCCGATCCATCCACTCCGAGTTCCTCGTAACAAGAATGTGATTTCCAATGGGCGCGCAGCCACTGAAAAAGAGAAATATCAAACGATAAAAATAGCAAGCAGTTTGGAACCGACAAGTCGCTTCCATCGACACATGTACATGCATTGTACGTGAGTCCCCCCCCCCCCTAAACAACCGAATATGACATGGCTTCAGCCTTAGGTGAGCAGCGGATGCTGCTCATAGCCCGCCAATGTAGAGGTCTTGGTTAATCCCCTCTTCATTTGGGGCAGGTCAAAGCAGGGCGCTTGCCGTACAGTACGGTGACAGTGATCGCCTGCCATTAGTCCAAGGTCAGTAGACAGCCAGTACACTCACATTCACTTAGTTCGACCACAACTGGCTGAGCTAGCTGAATGAATGTCAGGTTTCGAACTGACAGTTTTGAAAACCATCAGACCAGGATGAGATGAGACGAGATGTTGCTCTGGTAGGAGGGGAGAGCTTTTTACGGTCTAGCTTGGCGTTCGTCATCTTTGCGGGTCTACCGAACCGCAGTGACACTGTTGACATGGGGAGCGTAAGGTCAGAGTCTACACAGATTGAGCAGCACAATTCCGTCATCCGTGAATAGAGGCGACAGGAGTCAGTAATGGAGGAAGCCAGGTAGCGAACAGACAGGCGCCTCGAACGCGCCCTACACGTGTATTCGTATCGTCAATCAAGAGACAATATCTAACCAGGGGGTCCTGCGGATCAGGTTGTGCTGACGCTGACAAAACTCGTTGTTTCTGTTTCCGAGGCACAGTCATTAGATGCTTAGGCAGAAACGACAAACGGAACACGAGTTTCGGGTTGCGTTCTATCCAACTATCACACGACTTAACAAGCCTAACAAAGCAAAATCGATTGCCGATATGGAATCCAACTCAATATGACTGGCTCATCTCTGTTACTCAAAGCTACATCAGCATTTGCTTGACCTATGATTGTGCCGCAAACGTCTACAAAGGAATGTGAATGCCAATTAGTCGTGGTGAAAGGAAGGAGGCCTTCGCTACGGAGTTATTCATTAGAAAATGCCAACTGACCAGTTACAGACTATTGGACAGGGAAGCAAAACTCTCATATGCATCTTATTTACAAAAGCTGAACATCCATCTTCTCTTGAACGCTTCTTCCCAAACTTTCCTGGCTATTCATTGACTATTGCTCAAATCCAAGAAAACGCTACAAAGCGGCTCCACAAATTCCGCAAGAGATCTCCCTTTTCCAAGAGACGCAAAGTGAATTTACAAGAAACCATACTACTCGGATGTCTCCCCATTAGTAGTATCACCATTACAGTGGTAGTGGACGGAGAAAACAGACACGAACGCGTCCCTGAGAGGCAGCATGAGTCGTTTAGTTCAGTTTTTCAGATGTAAACCATGTAACAATAGTAAGTTGGTTCCAGCCGCCACAATTTCGGTCACAGAAGAATGAGAGAGAAGGGAAAATAAATCCAAGCATTGGAGGTGATGGCACTTGAGGAAAATAGTTTTAAATGTCTAGTTAGTTGGAGAAACGGGAAAGTAGGCAGCTAAGCGTGAAAGGAAACAGTTTTCTTACAGAAGCACCACTGCCTAGGTGATTGAGTCATGTCTGCTAGTGTCATTATCCAATCACAGGCTTAATCCCGCTGCCTAAGTGATTGAGTCATGTCTGTCAGTGTCATTATCCAACCACAGGCTTAATCCCCGGGTCCCAAGTCAATCGTTCAACTGTAGCACCCTTTCGATGCCTAACTGCCATGCCACACGAAGGAGGCACCAGGGCTGGGATACTGCCAGATTGCCCAAGCCTAGACAGGGGAAGTCAAGAGGCAAAAGTCGGATTCGAACCACGGACCTTCCGGTCGGTAAATTCGCGCTCGAACCACTTGGTCCATCTCGCCCCGTCCCAAGTCAGTGAGACGGTAGCCGTCCACCCGGTTAACGCTTTTATACTTTGTTACAAGGTCATACGCTATTCACCTCTGTCGTTTCCAGTCAGTACAGAACTGAGCAAAAAGGATCTCCACCAGGTAGAGGGTCCTCGGTCACAGAGTACAGGATATATTAGTTCGCGTAGACCGTGTGACACACCGAAAAAAGTGGGCGAACGAAAACGATGGACCTGGAATATTGAGAAATAGTGACAGGCATGGCTGTGGGTTGCGAAAAGCCCAACTTTGTACTGGGAGAAGTTGAACCCAAATTTCAGGCAGATAAGCGCAGAGGAAGGACAGTCATGTGTGTGTTCGTGGTGGTACCGGCAGACTAACAGATCATCATGAGGTGGATCGATGAATGAGCAGGTTCCCCGAACGGAATTAGAGCGGTACCTTGGGGGACCCACTCGAGAGCCTCTGGTTGAAGACCCTAACCAGTGAGACAACGGAGCGGTTGACCACGATAGTACTTCATACTAATTACTGATATGAACAAGCATCCAGATTTTGCAATATCTCCAGGAAAAACCAAGATTTCGAGATGGAAGGTTGGAGTGCTGCTGTTTAAGTGAGTTCGAAACGAATAGAAAAGCTAGCAATGTATCAACGCCATCAAATCTGAATTTGACCGATAAGTTGACATCTTTTCTATGCCACAATCAATGGGAAGTGCAGCAAATGCAGAGCGCTCTGTCTTTCTATCACATAGCTCATCCAGAGCATGAAAAAGGAACAAGGTCAACTTATCGATAGTTTCGCACAAGCCACCTGTTATGTAAACGACCGGGGTATTCCCAATCGAGTCCCATAGCGTAGCGCTGAAATTAGGAGGTGCAAACCGAGTCTCGCAAAAGCTTTTCCTTCTTGCTTGTTGGTCAGATGACAGTTGATCTGTTCGCCGAGCTTAGCAATTGGCTCGCAAACGTTTCGTCCCCAGTCGAGGAGACATCGTCAGTGCGCAGTTGAATGGGTGCTTCCTCCGTGCCTAGCTGCGTTTATGTAGTTTTCGTAGAGTATCTAATATCCTGTCATGTGATTGGCTGGCTGTTATATACCTTCTGTTGCATTATTGTAGGACCGATCGTGATTTTTTGCTGCGTTGTGGTCTGTATGCCTCTTATTCCATTAGTTTGATGGATGGCTGCTTTGGGGTGCTCCGGGTTTGTCTGCAGTTGGTCCGTTCCCGGTTTGTGTTTCGTTGTGGTCTTCCTTCCTTGGATCTGGTTGGTTGTGACCGCGGCTTCTACCCGAACCATACAACGTCGTACGCATTCAGGGGAGGGGGCGGTTGAAGAACCGAGTTGGACGATACCATACACATAAACAATGTCGAAAATCTATTCTTGACCTAAAAATCATGTTTCTCGTTTGTTTCAAAAGTTGGAGAGTGAGGTATGAATGGGAAAGACTAGTTTTCTAACAGGGTGGCGTCTGTTTGTACGGAGAACTCCAATAAGTCGACACTTGGGAGACATTTGAGAGATCCAATCAGCTATTGAATCGAATCGGCTACCTCATACGCAGTCTGCGAGTGGTATAAATTAGCCTACTATGGTCAATTCACGGCTGATGATCTTTCGGCTTGGTTATGGCACAAGACACCTGCTTTGCTTCGTGCACACAGAAGAAACTTTGTCAAGAATACGTAGCGAATAAAACCTTGTTAGGAGGTACCTGTTGGTAGTGACAACTGTTGATCAAACGAATAGACGAGGCACCCAATACGGCCATGTGGAGGCCTTTGAACGCCAACCGATTCCCCAGGGAGAAAACCGTTTCTGAGGTCACGGTTCATTCGATGTGCCGTGAAGGACATTCCGTTTTGTTTATGAATTAAGTTCGTGTCCACATGGTTGGTATGTCTTGTAAATTGATGTATTGATTGTTCCAGAAACGGGACCGACGAAAGCCTAAAAGATCTCATGAATCGAAAAAAAACATTTTTTTCACACTCACGTGAATGGAGCACAAGTTTCGGGTCGATAGTCAGCCGATGTGTCGTTCACCTGTAGCACCCTTTCGGTGCCTAGCTGCCATGCCACCCGAAGGTTGCACGAGGGCTGGGATACTGCCAGTAGCCAGGTTGCCCAAGCCTAGACAGGGGAAGTCGAGAGGCAGAGCGGGTCGGGTTCGAACCACGGACCTTCCTCGGCCGATGTGTTGCCTCCGGTCAACACCCATGGCCAATTCTTTGACTTAAAAAAATGCTCTTTACTGTGGATCAGCTACCCTCCAGCTTGGAGCTATCCCATTTTCACAAGTGTGAGATCTGAAGCACCTGAGACTTCCTAATACGAAACAGAGCTGTGTAACCCGAGTTGACAGGTTGTCAAGAATGTGAACCTGATCGGACTATCACTAATAAACTCAACGCACAAATTCTAAACAGCCATTACCGTAACTTGCTTAGTTGTCGAGTGAGGACATCACGTCATGTTGTATCAGTTTGCCCATTTTGCCAAGGTGTATGAATAAGTCACCTATGGGTCAGAGCTGCGGAACAGAATTGTGGGCTTGGAGAGTACGTAGCAAAGTGCAAAACCAGCTGGAGAAACTGAAATTCAAAACAACCTAAGCTCACCTCAATTTTAGATTGGCATTCGGGAAACGCCAACAGTCGGTAGGACTGCAAAACGCATGTTTCTTGGGCACCCTGTAGAAGATCTATGTGAAAGTGGAGAGGAAAGGAAAAATTCCGACAGCTAGAGATGTGTAGGTCGAACTGCGGGGAGGATCCTAGCATAATGAAGTTACGTCATTCGTGATATAGTGGACCTCCAAATGAAAGTGAAAATAAACTATCGTTGTGTTTGCTTGTTAAACGGTTGTCGGTGCCTGCTGTTTATATAGTGGGGGCGAGATGGACCAAGTGGTTAGAGCGCGAATTTACTGACCGGAAGGTCCGTGGTTCATACCCGACCTCCGCCTCTCGACTTCCTCTGTCTAGGCTTGGGCAACCTGACAGCCCTCGTGCTTCCTTCGGGTAAAATGGCAGTAGGCCACCGGAAGGGTGCTAGAGCTGAACGAACTCTTGACCAAACCGCGAAGTAACTGGAAGGTCATTGGTTCAGATCACCCTGGACGTTGGCGAAATTGATGACTCCTCTTTAGACTGTACGAAGCTTCTCGTCTTTTTAGCGAGTTACCAATGCTTCAACATCCAGTCAAAGTGACAGTCAGGAAAAGATGGAATTGGAGGGTACATAGCTGTTCCTCCTTGAGGAGTGAATCAACAGTTTCACAAGGCGCATTGTCTTCTCTTCTGTTCGGGAAAACACTGTCCCCCTCGAGCGGGGTACGTAATGCATGCCCAACGAGCCAACCAGATGCCAGATGGCCAGACAACGGTGCAACACAAATCCCGAAAAGACCAATCAGATTAATAATAAGTATAATAATCGTTCAGCTCTTACACCCTTCCGGTGCCTAGCTGCCAGGTCACCCGGAGGAAGCACGAGGGCTGGAATACTGCCAGGTCGGCAAGGCCAAGACAGGGAAAGTCGAGAGGTAGAGGTCGGGTTCGAACCACGGACCTTCCGGTCAGTAAATTCGCGCTCTAACCACTTGGTCCATCTCGCCCCAACTATATAAACAGCAGGCAGATGTGCGGGCATCGTCCACGGTGACGATATCCCGTCACATGGTTACTAAACGTCTGCAAGTCAAATTGTCAAATTGCTAGGCGAACAGCTCCACTGTCAAGTGATCAACAGCAAGTACACAAAACCCAAAGCAACCCGAACTTCTGATCGGTGGGGTACTACGTTACAAAACAGTGCTCTCGATGCGTTCCTTCAGTACGTTCCCTCAAAACGTTCAATATTTCAACATGTCCCCATGGTAAACCATCGACCCGGTCAATTTCGACCACGTTGAAAAACACCGCTGATGGAGTGACAATAGTTCAAATTTCGATGGTTATTACTGAGAGATATTCATCCAGAAAACACTTACTAAAAGAGGCCAGATTCCCATGTTTAATCAAACAATAGACAGCTCGACTTAAACGTTTGTATGGTTCAGTAATAACACCGTTTCGGTGCCTAGCTGTCATGCTATCCGAGGGAAGCACGAGGGCCGAAATACTGCCAGGTTGCCAGGTCTACACAGGAGCAGTGGAAATGCAGAGGTTGGGTTCGAACCACGGACCTTCCGGCCAGTAAATTCGCGCCCTAACCACTTAAGCCATCTCGAGCTCAAAAAATTCAATAGAAATTAAACTACAGCAATAATGGACTGGCGAATAAACTGAATTGTTACACTGAGAAAACTTGGGTGGGAAAAATATCAAGACAGAAAACACACGATAAAAAATTTGAACGGAACAGTCGCCGATGTCCCAATCCACGTTGCACCCGGCTGATTACAACGCAGAGTCGATCATACCAATAGATAATTGCAACTTGAAAGAGACAACCTGAATACTTTCCTCTCTCTCACACACAAGAGAGAAAAACAGCCTCTATCAGGAAGGTAAATAAGAACAGTCGGGGGACACTTTGAAGTCATTTAGGCCGAGGATGAAAGTGACAGAGTTCGCTGAAGCAGTTTCGCTACAGATGAGAAGATTCTAACCACTGATGACTGTTGACACACCGTCGACGATTTGGATGGAGACGATGTAGGCGAACTGAAGCCTTCACAGATTACGAGAAATGGATAAAGTACATCACGAACTTTGAAATAGACGGTTGGCTAAATGGATGTGTTCGTACAGACCACAGTACTCCTAGAATGACCACAGCTGGGGATTAAACGAGGAGACGCTTTTTTCGCGTCTTCTTCGCTCAACACTGATGCTGCATTCCAATTCTAGCGGCATCCCCGCCATTGAAGTTCACGTGCAACTTCATGATAGTTAAAAATTTGAGTTCCATAGCCTTGTCTGACTGGTTTTGTTGAGTCCAATCAGTACTACTCTCGAATGGTGTTTCATACGATCAGGACGAGAATCGCCCAGATGTTGAGTAAACAGCCTTTCGTTGTTGGAACGAACATACGATGAAGACGCTAGGAAACATCAATGTTCCACACACACACACACACACACACGAAACCTTCGATGGCTACAAATTGGCTGTGCACACAGGCAATAGAAACAATACCGAAACTCAGCTAAACCCCGGTCGCCTGGGCAACAGACTCGAAGTTATCAACATAAGTAACGCTGAAAACTCACCAATGTAATCTACTGTCTCTGCGTCCTCGCTTTGTTGTTGCAGGTGGCGACGTTGAAACGATGCATTTTGTATGGAAAAATTTCCGATGGACTTGAGCGACCCAGGGACACCACCGTGCCGAATGGAAGCGATTTGCGCTTCCAACGTGGAAATGCGCTGCATCAGACTGTGCAACAAGACTGCAAGTGTTTTCTTCATGTCTATAGGAACAGATGGAGGGCAGAGAGAAAAGGAGTCATGCAAATGAGTAATGACAGGTGGTTATGTGCACAAAGCAACATTCTGTAACAGTTTTTTTCGGATGACGCCTACTCGTGATCACTTCAGACTCTAGCTCGGCGATAAGCCATCCATGGGTAGATAGCAGAAGTGGGTTTACACGCTGGTCGCACACTTTCTGTAGAAGTTACTCTCAGTATTAGCGGCAACACCAGAGTCTGAACTCGGTGAGTAGCTATCTTACAACGAGATCGCCCCAGTGGTTAGAATTTGGTAACCAGAAGGTTCGTAGTTTGAACCCGACCTCCGCATCTCGACTTCCACTGTCTAGGCTTGGGCAACCTGGCAGTATCCCAGCCCTCGTGCTTCTTTTGGGTGGTATGACGGTTTGGCACCGAAACAGTGCTACAGCTGAACGACACTGCTAAAGTTTACGAAAATTCTGAATGGGAGAACAAGGGGATCGTGCGCTAGCCTACCACACAAATTCAAAGTTGTCTTCCCATCTCCGTCTGCACTGAGCAGATGCACAAAGCACAAAAACCTAGTGAGATATGAGCTGAATAGAAGATATTACTTGAGGTCGCCCTCATCTGGGTGCTGTTACCGATAGTTCGGAGTTTACAGACACATGAGTAAGACTCTTGACCAAACCGCCTAAGGAGGAAAACTCCTGTGTGGTTGCGCTTTCGCAGTTCCAAAGCTGGATAGCTAACTATTTCCCGGAGGGAATCGAGCGCCAATCGGACTGTTGTGACGCGGGAACGCCTGTCGGTTACGGCTGAACGGGGTTTGCCAGACTACCCGGTAAGGATAAGACACAAACACAGCGTTCCTTCCTCGACCCCGTCCGTTCCGCCAGTCGCATGTTGCTACGCCGTGTTTGGCACGCCCGCTCACGCAACTGCTATCCGAATCGTGACCGATGATGACCTGTGTGATGCACCATCCTCTGCACGTGTGAGTTTCGATCTAAAAGCGCCCTAGTACTGACTAGACACTAGTAGTTAGGTAATGGTCTTGATAGGCGAACAAACAGTTGGTTTGACCAAGGATCATACTCAAACTGACATTCATCCGTTGCGTAATCCCGGCAATAAATGTAGTGGACCTCTCCAGACCTCTCTCACCTGAACGTAAGAGAGAACGGTCAGGTAATACTCAAGAAGCATGGAGAAGATCAGGGGCCGCACAACAATCCGATTGTAATTCGCATATAACCAATGAAGATTTGGTTGGAGTGCGAAAACTTTCGTGCGTTCCAATGACTGAACAATCCACATTTCTATGCTCACCAAAGTTTGAATTCGAATCCCTTAGTGTATACCGTAAAGTTGGAAGGCGGGTCAGCTGATGCGTACTCGGAAAAAGTGAAAAGGATGTGCAAAAAACCATAGGACTCTTGACTAGGGTTGAGAAAGCTGCACAGAATGATCCCACGTATACAATGACCATTGTTACGGTAGTGGAACAAGAGAAAACATATTCTGTACCCTTCATTGGACAAAAACGTACCGTAAGCGGTGGTTTGCGAGCTGTACGGACCATCAGGCTCGAATTTCTGCGCCTCCGCCAAGACCTGGACATACTTCTGTGACAGCTGGAGAATTTCTTGCTGTAACTGAGCAAAGGGAAGCGAAGAAGGATGGGACCATGCAGTCGGTAAAGGAGACTGAAATAATACACCCGCAACTTAATTATACGCCATCCCAAAAGGGCCGATCCCAGAGAGAGTTCACTCCCTAGAAGCGGCCGAATACAGAACAAGGGTGACAAAATCATTCCTCGTGTTGAAGTCAACTTCACATAGAGTCTATCCCGAAGAAAGTTAAGAGGCTCTTTTCTCGTGGTCGTGAATTACGTCGGGACCGACTTTCCAGGAAGGCGGATTCCTCTAGAACGAGTCTCTCTCGAGTGCTATTGTGTCCCGCTTCCCAGGTTGATCTCCGTACCGTACACTGTCCTGGGGATAACTGCCATCACTCTTGTTTTTGGCCAAATACTGGCTAGAAGATTCGAGCAACATGGTGACGAGAGAAGGGTGATCGTGGGAAGATAAAACCAGGCTCAGTAATTAAAAGGAGGCGGTGAACCGGTCAGTAAATCGGTCTGGTGATAGAGAAATCCCTGGAACGAACTTTAACTAGCTTTTATAGACTCTGAGTAACATGACCCCGGGAAACATTCAATTATCCACTAAACCGGCGGGAAGCAGATGCCATGAATGAAGGAGGAAACGTGAAAAACTAAACCGTGAGCCATACGTCTAAGCCGTGCGTGCTGCGCGCACGGCAAAGAGTAGGCAAATCCTTTCAGCAAAAAATTTACGGCCTGTTTTGAAATTCACGTTTCCGGATCGTCTGCGCATGCCCTAACATGGAGGCGCATAAGGATTGATTCGTACGGTTCGGAATACTCCGAGTGACGTCTAGCGACCCAGCTTTCTGAGCCGAATACAATCCAAAAGAGCCGGAACAACATCCTACGGTATGCAAACGAACGATCAAGTTGCGAATCTCGACAGAAAGTCAATATCTACACAAGACTGTAAGAGTGTGTGCTCGAAATACACCAGTGGTTAATGTGTACTAACCTACTAACCCGAGGATTCGAGGTTCGAACTCAGCCGCGGCATCTTGACTGCTCCTATCTAGGCTTTGGCAACGTGACAGTATCTCACCTCTCGTGCTTCCTTCGGGTGGGATGGCAGCTAGGCATTGGGAAGGTATCACGGCTAAACCATTTATCTTTGTAACTATTTATTATTACTGTCCAATTTTGGGAAACTTGGCAGTATTTCATGTCTCATATTTCCAATAGATCGCAGTGAAATTAACCAGCAAACTGTACATCAGGACAGCTATTCATTTGTTGGAGAAGAGCGGTGCGTTGAAGGCTACAGTTTGCAAAAACGCTGTAAGAATAAGACTAGTTAAGGGGACTGGTAGAGGTGAGAAAGGAGTCGACAGAGTTGAAGCTTTTTTTCGATTGGATTGGAAATATTCAGAGACTTGGATAGATAATCCATCCATTAGTCAAAGCATACAGGCAAAACAAGAGCCCCTCACCAAAGGGTTCAACTTCAGTTTCAAAGGAATCACAAACTTACAGCCAGTCTAGAAGCAGTGAGGAAATCTACAGGACTCTCAGAGAACGCCCACCAACAGCTTCACCAACTGTTGTACGCAACAAGACATTCAACACCATTTTGGGCAGAAGAAAAGTGACGAACAGGCTGAGGAAGATTGAAAACATCTCGGACAACGGACGGAGAGCTCAAACAACACCAATGAAGTAGAAACCCTACTGACCGACACGACTGCGCATCGCTGCTTGGGACACTGTCAAAACAGACGCGATAGAAGATGAATTTAACACATTCCAAGATCTCTACAAGACCACAAAAGAATATTGGAGAGTGAGAACTCATGACTTGGCAATTCCCTGAATCTACGGATTCCCAGTTATATCGAAAGCGATTCCTCTCTGGCCAATAGTATCACTCGTGGGACATGAAGCTTCCTCCATCCCATCGGTGGAGGAGGAACCATTCTGAATTGACAGTGAAACCTCTGGTGCAGTCATACGTAACCGTAACTTTGACCAGCGATCTGAAGTGTCATGAGATTTTCAACCAAGAATTGAACCGGTACGAAAGCGCGCAAGTTTACTCCGGTTCCAGGCTATTGTCTGGCCTCTTTTGAGTGACTTACATGAAGCACATAGAAAAATAAGATGAATCGTTCAGCTGTAGCACCCTTTCGGTGCCTAGCTGCCATGCCGCACAAAGGAGGCACGAGGGCTGGGATAATGCCAGGTCGCCCAAGCCTAGACAGGGTAAGTCGAGAGGCAGAGCTCGGGTTCGAACCACGGACCTTCCGGTCAGTATGACTCCGTTCGTCATGCATCAGTCTTGCCTGTAGAATCTGCTCGTCACATGGTGCCGACATCTTCAGGAATCTCCAAGTCAGTCCTCAAGCCTCGACACCCATTCTATCTGGCCGCGTTCAATGTTCGCACTCTGAAGCAAGCAGGACAACAAGCTGCTCTTGCACTCACACTGGACTCGCTTGGCATTGATGTGTGCTGTGTCTCAGAAACGAGAATTCAAGATGCAAGCACAGTGACTGAGCTAACAGCCCCGTCAGTCTCCACTCGCTTCCGGCT